CAATTCAAATGTTGGAATAGTTCATTATGGAATGTCAGGGGTGAATGAGTTAACATTCAAATAAAAATGCATACACGTGGTTTTCACGGCAAAATTGCCAAAAGAGAATATACTGTAAGACATTTTAATTGTGATATCTATTTCGTAGATTAGTTCTTTCACATAGTTATCAGTATAAACGATGTGTATCGCGTTTGCCTCTCCCTGTTGGTTTAGTTGCATCCTTATTTGCCGCTGCCTTGACGTTCGATAAAAAATTGCCTTTATGTTCTTCCGTTGACAGTTCGTTCTAAATACTACTGTGAGAGAGTTATTTGCTAGGTATGGAAATAATGAAAACATTTCTGTAACCAGGATTGGCCTTCGATTCCGCCCCCTTACATTTGAACTACCTTACCTTAAGCATTAAATCGAAACGGTGAAGGCCTCCAACCTTGAAGAATACAAATAAAAGGTCCTTGGAATTCATAATTGTTTTATATTGGAAGAGTTAAACTCCCTTGCGGACTGATGACAAATGCCCAAAAAAGGTGTTTAATCTTAAAAGAATCCACTCCTCACAACTTGTTTGTCTTTCAGCCAAATTTGCTATGACATGCTTTTGGGACCCAAAAATCTAACATTATGGTAGAATGTTGTTTTGTATTGAGAAACAGATACTGAAATAAGGAAATATTTGTAATGTTACTCTATGAAAGATTATTTTGCCACACTTGCTAAATGTCCAGGTGATAGACTCTCTGGGCCACTTGTTAATAACGTGTAAAATGTTACACGTGTTTAAGTTAAAACCAAAGAAATATAACAAACAATATTAAGAACAGATGTAAATGCTTGTGTTTAGTATTATATCATGTTTATTTACTAGGTGAACCTGTGTTGTGATGCCAGGGAGAAGGAGGGGTGATTTAGACTTATCGATGTTCGAGTACAGAAAGTCTAACTCTAATTTAAATCTCTATACATGGTTTGTAGTAAACAGATAAACATGACAAATCAATCACAATCATGTTAGGAGATCACGTTATATTTCGTAATGTAATCCGTTTTTGTAACATTCTTACATGTCGTCAGAGCCGATCTATGTGCAAGGTCCCCGAGCAAAATTGCCTGTGGGGGGGGGGGGTGTCTTCTATCTAGATGACATTAAAGAGACCAAAATTGATCTCCTGTTCCAATGGCAAGACTTGTGATATGTCTTTTTTCTGTCTTTTCTGCGTTGTCTACCTATACATCTGTCCGCGTAAGACATTACATTATATGACCCGAGGACGTTAACCAAACACAAACAAAACAAACCAAACAAATTATTTACATTTTAAATTTATAGATGGATACTCTTGTATATAATGTGATATAAAAATCTGTTAATATTTTCCAATATTCGTTTAAATTGAACGCGCGTTATTCCGTCGAATGTCATTTTTGTTCATAAATTTATATAAGTAGTAAGTGTATACCTCGTTAGAAAGAGATGTATGGTAGTGCATTGGATAGCGCACATGAGTTCTATTCGTTCGGATGTAAAAATGTATGGGGGTCATCTTGGCGACCACTTCCATCTCTCCGAATGCCCCACCTTAGTCTCATACTCCTGTGCACTATCATACACACCAACATGACGATTAGTTTACGTTAACAGTACTTTAGGCAATTCGGATTTCCAACCTTTTGGCTCCTAGCATCGCCGTGGAGCCCTAGAAGGACGAAACATCTGAATGATGCATATAATTAATTTTTGGCATACTATATTTATTACCAAATTTGCAGTCATCTGTTTGTGCGTTACGTTAATTTTTAGGTCACCTGAGCTTTGCTCAAGTGACCTATTCCAATCGCTTTTCGTCCGTCGTCGTCCGTCGTCCGTCGTGCGTCGTGCGTAAACTTTTACATTTTCAACTTCTTCTCAAGAACCAGTGGATGGATTTTTTTCAAACTTGGTCAGAATCATCCTTGGTAGATGAGGCTTCAAAATTGTAAAATTGGGATTCCTACCCCCACCCCTGGGGCCAGGGCGGGGCCCCAAAGGGAAAATTATCCAATATTTCAAAAATCTTCTTCTCCAGACTCA